TGTACTGACCTTTCACGGTTGCCCTTACTTTCTCGGTGCTTTTCTTGGTTACCACGAATTTGACTCCAATACTCCCTTTCGGCATCACCTAAGACACAAGTGCAAGCCCACCATTAGCTCTCTCTCATAACATCACATACAAGTTCTTTTGACTGGAAGCCACCATGTATGGCAACCAACACAGCTTAACATCTCATCCCTCCACTATAGAAGAGTTTAGCATCTAAATGGAAATTATGGATGACACTAGCATACTTTGATTTGGAAAAATCTTGATATTTTGGACCAAGACCAAATTACATTGCCCCATAAACAGTAAGCTCCTCTTAGACAATCCTCTAGATCTAGAACCATTTATCCAGTGCATCCACAAAATGTCATCCTTAATAAACCAATCCATTGCACTCCAAACTTCACCCTCTATTGTCTACATTTACATTACAGGAAATGACAAATTCACATAGTTGATCACAGAAAAAAACATAAAATGGGACAAGGGGAAAGGGACAAATCAGAGGCTCCTCATGCAACAAAATACTTCCAAATAAAGCTCTAAATAAAACAAAGTTATTGCCATTTACCAGTTACTGGTTCCAGAATAGCAACAAAATTCTTCACGATCAGACCACCTTCTTTAGCCAGGACTGCAGCTGCACGAGCTTTCTGAGCTCCTTCAGGAGCTTCAAACCGTATATAACCCGAATCCTCTCGAATTTTAAAATCAATGAACTTCACAAAGCAAGAAAGGTAAACATCAAATGTAAATACACAAAAGGAAAGCAACAACAAAAAAAAAAAAAGGCTAAAAAGAGCCCAAGGTAACTACTTTCTCTAGTCCACAGTTCTTTAAATTAGTTTCAAACATTGCTTTTCATAAGAGTTAAACCTTTTTCACTTGTAAAAATCTACAAAATATCAACTTCTGCTTTCTTGGCCCCAAAAATAAAATAAAATAAAATAAAATCAACTACCGCTTTCAAAAAGATCCTTTCTGAACACATACCAGACAGAGGCTTCGAATCTCAACCAAAAAAGAAAAGAAAAAGAAAAAAAGAAATCAGCATATATTAATACCTTGACAGTGCCAAAGTTTTGAAACACATCCTTAAGGTCTTCACGCAAGACAACATTCATATCATTTTTAAAGGCAGAAACAGGTTTTTCTCCCATGTCTTCGTCCCTTTCAGTCGGCCTATCAGAAGACTTATCTCCATCTTTGGTGTCCATTTCTACACCTTCATTTTTCTCCTTGTCATTGTCATTTTCTGGCAACTTCTGCTCACTCCCTTCAGTAGTATCATCCTTGCTTGGTTTATCAAGTTTGTTTTGATCACTAGAGTCCCCAGCTGATAATCTCTTTAATGTAAATGCAACAAGCAAACCCTTGGGGTAGCTATGGTCGTTGTGAACTGAGTTAGGTCAAAAAAATTTTGTACCAAAAAAAAAGAAAAAGAAAACACTCACAGAGCATTTAGCAATTACTTACTTTGATTCTCCATCTGTATTTTTCTTACGATTTGAACCTGGATGAGATTTCTCAAACTCCTCAGCCTCTTTTTTCCTTGACTCATCAAAATCTTTTCTGCATTGAAAAAGAGGAAAAAGAAAATTACCATGAAACAATAATGGAAGAACTATGACCAAAAAACAAACAGTCTTTCCCCCAATCAACAATATTTAACCCATGCCAGAATTATGATAGTAGCAGTTAATATATTGAAACTTACAAATTTCCCCCACTAAAAGTTCTAATACTAACTTGATTGGGTTCTTTACAAGATCATTAGGCAAGTTAATTCCTAATTGAAATAAAACAAACAGTTGTAATAGAGCTTACTTTGGTTTTAGTTTCAGCTCTACACCTGCATAAACCAAGCTTTGCTTCAAAAGCTTTTGTGCATCCTCCTCTGCTGAGAACTCAACCAGAGCAGTCCCACAAAATAACCTGTTGTCCCCTACATGACGAGGCAACCTCACACAATTAACCTGAAAACATACAAGGTCACCGTCATCAACACGTATTGACAATCAAAACAACCCCACACTGGGACAATTAAAGGAAGAAATAAAATACCTTGCCGTATTTACCAAAAAAGGACTCCAAATCTTCCCTCTTTACATCATATTCAAAATGTGATGCAGCTATTGTTTTTACATCTAATTGCTCAATCATTTCGTCAGGCTTCAAGAGTTCAGCACTCCTACCAACTCTCTTACCTGAAACACAAGAAACCCACAAAAAGAAAAACTCAATAAAATTCTTTTCAACGGGCATTTGGGTTCAGAATTTTAACAACTCACCATCTTCAGAAACCTTGAGGGAAGAAGATGTCCTAAGAGTTTCAGCTGCAGCTTTCACAGTATCCTCTGATACTTCCTCTGGCTTCACAGCTCCTAACTTTAAATGCTCTCTCATCTTCGAAAACGAGCATATCAAAGCCAAGCTAACCACTTTATCCAAAACCCAGAAAAAAACAACATTTAAAAAAAAAAAAAAAAACAGAGAAATGTAATATGAAAATTGAAGGGAAAACATACTGCCATCTTCGCGCTCGCTGATTTTTTTCTTGAGAAAACTATCTCTGGGAATATTGCTGTCACTGAAGTAAAACTCTACCTGAAAATATAATAAGAAGAAAAAAAAAAATATATATATATATATATATATATATATATATCAATTATCCATTGATTCAAGAAGGATAGGATTCAAACTCGAAACGTATGAGAAGAAATTGACCTGGCGAAGAACTGCCTTGGCCGTTTCTTGGTCCAAGGAAGAAGTCGCCATGACTGATCTGGAGACAGTAGTAGCTTAGGCGGTTACATAGAAAGATGGAAAAGGAGAGTGTTTTAGGGTTTTAGGATGAACGGTTTTTGGAGCTGGAAGAATTTGTATGTTATTGCAAAATTTTAAAATTATATTATTCGGATTTTAACTTCTAAACTTTTATTGTACCAATTTATCCTTTTTTTGGCAGTCTTTGGCTCAGCTTATAGTAATTAATAGAATACATAATATGATTTAATAATTTAAAATTAATTTATAAAATAATTTTAAACACCTAACTAGTTCTTCAAAAATAATGAAAAGAAAAGTTTTATGTTAATAAAATCAACAAGATGAAAACACACACTTCTTTTCCTAAAAATAAAAAGGTGTTAAAAGAACAAAATTAATTTTTTATGTAGAGAAAAACAATTAATTAGTACTTTCTCTGCAAAGACTTTTGTGATCAATTAAAATAAATGAACAATAATAATATTGAAAAAATAAATATTTTTTTATTTTAAAATATAAAAAATATTATTTTTTTTAAAACAAATTTACAAGAAACCGGATTCAAACCGTTACCCTGGAAGTGATTGCCCTGGAAGTGAAAGAATACACTTATTATTCGTGACCTGACACCACTGAACTCGAAAGCTCAAGTGCATAAAAAATATTAATTAATTTAAGATAAATTTTTTAAAAAAATTATTTTGGAGGAAGAGACTACATACTAACCATAAACCTTTATATGTACGACAATTTTGATATAAATTTTCTGTTACTAAATATTAATGGTAGGTAAAACGAACCTGTTGGAATTGGCCGAGTACTGAATGTGATTCAACGGCCAAAATTCACAATGACCATGCTGCTCTTCATTACTCCACATATGGGTAAAAAACAGAACACAAAAACATAAAGAATTGCCTACAACTTTGGAATACTGATAAAGCATTTGATGAGTTTATATCATGTCTTTTTTATACGAGAAGAACAAGTTGAACTCATAACATTATTAGGAAGAGAGAATAAAATCACATATAACAGCAACGGAGATAAATATCATATTCATACAACACAGTCAGTATAAGAGAAGTTCATCTCCCAGCACCCAACCCTTCACTCTATTCTTTTCTTTTACCTCTTCTTGTGATTATGTCTCGTGCACAAGGATAGTGACTTCACACCTAGAATCACAAACAAATGGCAAACCACCCTTCTCGAAACGCATAAATTTTGGCAGTGATTAATTTAATGAAAATTTAGATCCAATATGCTTTACATAAAATCATCCTCAAGTTCCTGCAAAGACTTGTTTGTTGCTGCAATTTGCTTGTTTGATGTCATATTCTGAGAGACCATCAAACCTTTGTAGCTCCTTATCTCTGCCTGTCTCTCCTTTTCAAGCCTTTCCAGCTCCTCACGCCGTTTCTGCAAAAGAACAATATATCTTTTTTTTTTCAACATTCAATTAAGAAATATCACAAATTACATTGTAAGGAACAAACGATTCAAGTGTAGAACAGAACTAAGAGGCAAAGCAATTGAATTTCTTTGTTCTCTAATACAGCTCTGAGTTAAACAAAGATAAGCAGGTACAACGTAGGAATTTGACTTCATAGAAGTGAATTTCATGGAAAAAAAGGGATGTCAATCATAATCATCCTGGATTTAATAGATGTCAATAGTCAGCAAACGAAATGGATTAGAGTATATTCTAGGCACTCTCATTCATTAATACTTCACTAGTTAACTCAGTTTTCATTATATGCAAAAAGGAATGGCATTATAATTCAACATAAAATTCTGAAACCAAATGGGGCACTCATGTTCCATGCTATACCTGTATGAAGCCGACAGTTCATGCAACCAATATAATATCAAACATACAACCAGAGAAAGAAAAGAATAGAGAGAACTCACTTTCTCCCTCAACTGTTGTTTTCTCTCTGCTCTTTCTGCTGCATTGACTGCCTCTCGCTCAGCTGTAGTAACATATTTGGTATTACAGTATGTGCTTTAGTGAGATAAACATAGGAAAGGAAATAATAAAGAGGAAATTGTTAAAAAGCATAACTAAGCAAAAAAGTTACAAAGAATCCTCTCTGTGTACAACAAAATACAAAATAATTGGACTTTATTCAGATTAAATTGTCAAAGTAAACTGAATTATATATTACCTTTCAAATCGGGTTTTCGCTCCACTTTTGTCCTGTTCAGTCTGTTGACTATCTCATTTATCCGCTTCTCCACTCTCACAGTCCTAACCTACATTCAGAAACATATCAAACAAACATCAAAACTCAATACCGTCTTGGTCATCCTTGGACCTAAGGTACAGGAAAGTGCAATTCATATTGAACTGACCATCTTTGGGTTGTGAAAGCTAACTTGGCCAACATCCATGGAAGCAGTTTTCTTCAAATTGAACCAGGGAGTGTAAACAACATCAACATTGTTCACTTTGTTGCCTGCCACAAGATAGCCAACAAGGTGATCTAGTCACTACCATGCAGTATTATTAATTTTGGTTAGTCAAACTGCTCCCAAAAACATCAAAATCTTGGTGAATATATAAAAACAATGCACACCCCCATTTTTTATACCTTGGATGGAATTCGCCTTGACAAGCTGAGCACAATCCTCAAGCAAACCTTCACTTATATTATCAATTGTCTGACCTTTTTGAAGTCTTAAATAAACATGGGCAGAAGACATTTTGTCCACATGAAACCTGCAATCAATGAAAAATCTCTCATGAAAATCGCCTTTGGCACTAACAGAACAACCAAACGCAGAAATTCCAGAAACATAGAAAATTTTCACTTATTCAACAGCTATATAATATCTAATATCAAAGGAAAACATTTCATATGATGCTTTTTTCTTCGATTTTCTCTGTAACCAACCACCGGGTAAATTGGAAACAATACATATACCACATAAGAAGAAACAATCAATCACTTCATAATCTGAAAAACATGCAAAAATTGAAAGAATGGAAAAAGAGAGTACCAAATGTCTTCGGGGAAGCCGTACTTGATAAGCTCTTCGTTCTCATGCTTGTCGATGCCCATGAAAATGGTGTAATCACCGGCCTCGGGTCGGGCTTTGAAGTAGAACACCATTTTCGATTTCTTGTTGTTCTCCTCCAAAGACCAGAGAACACAATTTAGTAATTAGGACTTGGTTTTTCCCTTTCTGTCAGTCTGCCCTAACTTCTTTTTTTATTTCTTTTTATTTTGTTTTATTTTATTTTGTTGGGTGAAAGGCTTCATTACTTTCCTGTTTACGATTTCCTCGAGTTTTTCAAATAACGCGTTTTGTCTAACTCACATTAATATATATATATATGTATATATTATAATTATAATATGTAGGTGATAATGTATCACTATATAATGATTTTATTTTATTTATAAATTATTT